AGTGCAGTCCAACTGACAGTGATAGTGGTGGTTGTCTTGTTGACCTCAGTAAGAGAAGAGGGGGCAGTTGCTGGAACTAAATATATATAATCATTATTGGTAGGATTGGAGACATTACTTTTTATGGTTAAAGTACGTGTTCTATCATTACCAGCACTAGGATTATCCAGTACACACTGATATATTTGATCTCCAGTGGTTAATTGACTGATTGATCCACTACTGACAGTCATTCCATCCCATGTGATATCAACAGTATATCTTATTGTGTTGCTACTACTAACTAACACAGTACCAGGACAACTATTACTACCATCATTACAATTAGTGTAATCAACCAGTGCAGTACTATCAATGCTCATACTAATACCATAGCGATTGAATCCAATTTTAGTACAATTCAGTTTGTATTCCTGAGGATATACTGTCATATCAGAAGGAAGATCAGCAACAGTAAATGATTCTATCTCTGCAAATCCTACAAATGAAAATTATTACATCAGTAAGTGATTATAGTCTCCTCTTACTGAATATATTAGCAAAGATGATGTTAGTGTTAGGATCTGAACAATCAGTGGGTAGACAACACTTGTACCAGCCTTCTTGATCTGCTAATAGTTTCTGAGCAAGATAAAGATTGATAGTAGCATCAGGTGAAGTGACATTAGTACAAAGAAAAGGATCACTGGCACTATTATTGTTACAGTCAACAGGATCGTTAGGATCAGCAACTCTAACCCACTGACCTGTACCGGTTAGATCAGTATCAGGTAACACACATGATATAGCTTCAGTAAGTTCATTGACAGCACTATCCCAAAAATATGATTCATTAGGATAACAGTTTCCATTATACTCTAGATAAATATCTAATATTATGTGTAAATCAATACTTTATAACAATTTAGAATTAAAATTAAAAATACCTTCTTGCAGACAATGAGTGAAGACACTGATTGCACTACTAGCAGGGCCCAGTAATTGTTGATAGGCTCTGACTGTGATGCTGTAAGTTGTTAGTTCTCTCAGTCCATTCAGTGTGATTGTATTATTACTACTTCCCTCCACCTGTACTGTCTGCACAGTGTCTGTGTCACTAGTGACATTGACTACATATCCATTAGCATCAAATGATTCAAGTGCAGTCCAATTGACAGTGATAGTGGTAGCTGTTTTGCTGACCTCAGTAAGAGAAGAGGGAGCAGTTGCTGGTGCTATAAAAAAATAGTAAAGTCATTTTATTGCTACTTCTACCTGTTACAAAAACATCTCTATTTCTTTTTACTGGGTTATGATTGGTATGACCAAAATCTAAATAGAATCTGAATACGTGATCCCCATTGTTGTTTGATTGACTCAATACTCCACTAGTAATATTCTCTCCATTCCAAGTAACAGTTAGAGTATAGTCCCACCTTCCATTACCATAATCTACTGACATTCCATTACCATACATGAAGTTACAACTGTATGAGGCCCTAGATCCAGTGCAGAGTTTAGTACTACTGCTACCAGACTCATAGTACCAATTGGCAGCATGTAAAAAAGAACTGTGATCAGTTTGACCAATTTTAATGGCATGTAGTGTATATGTTTGAGGTAGAACTGTTTTATCTGAAGGAAGGTCAACTGCGATGGTTTCAATCTGTACCCATCCTACAGTAAATCAGTAACAAAGTGACAGTGTGTACTAGTTTAATGAGAACACTTACTGAATATATTAGCAAAGGTGATGTTAGTATTAGGATCTGAACAATTAGTGGGTAGACAACACTTGTACCAGCCATCATCAGATGGCGTAATGCTTCCATTAATGTAAAGACTGATGCTAGCATTAGGTGAAGATACCTCATTACAATGAAGAGGATCAGTACTGCAGTCAACTGGTGATCCACTAGTAACATTAACCCACTCTCCATTAGTCAGATCAGTATCAGGTAACACACACATGATACTGTTACTGGCTCCTGTAATATTAGCATCATAAAAATATGATCCATTAGTACAACAGGTTCCATCATGCATCAGGTAGATACCTATAAAAACCTATACAGTTGTTATTATACACATCCAGTGTCTTACCTGAGGAAGGTGGACATTGACTAATAACTTCACTGACACTCAACAAGAAGACAGCAGCTGCTGCTAGGGATGACATGATATTCTCTTTCTAGTAAAGTAAACGCAACAGTAGAAGTGACCTCTTTATTTTACACTAAAAATAAACAATAATATTTTTAAAAGCAGGCAATCTTTCTGACATCAGAGGTCTGTATTTTGAATGGCAGAGTGCATCTGGTATATATATCAAGCTAAGTACAGTATTGAACAATGAAACTGTATTATATGGAATGGGAATAAGTGACAAGTGTAAAAAGCATAATAAAGTTTACAAGCAGCTTTCAGTTCATCAAATGTTGCAAAGTAATATCCCAAACTGCAAGCTAGTAAGAACACAAATTATACGCTACCTTAGCTCAATGTCTTGTTGGAAATATTAAAATTGTCACACATTATCAACAAGAGAGTTCATAGATCTACCGGTAATATTAATCTTCTTTTATTACAACGACTAAAAGTGTTTGTTCAGTAGATAGTATGAAGTATAAATTAGTTTACTTAAAGCAGATCAATCAGCTAGGTAGATGGCACAACCTCTTCACAATAGACCAGTACTAATGACATTATGGGACTAACTGTTCCCCACTCTGTAAACAATAGAGGAGTTAGGAAAACACACTCCACTGTTTACATTACATTAGAAAAAACAACAATAGTTACAAGTTCAAAACTTGTTAAGATTCATTATGAAAAGAAAACAATACACACACAGAGTTGTTATTTCATCATTTATACATCCAGTTAGTCCATCATTATTTAGATGGGCAATATACACTTTTAAATACAATAGCTTTAAAAGTCAAAGAATTCTTTATTTGTTTTAAAAAATGGCCATGCCTTAGAATATGGAGCTGGAATCAGCTCAAACTTTCTACACAGCATAAGGACATCAATATATATCAGAAAATGTAATAAAAATTGGGGGTGATTTCAGAGCCATTTTTTGGAAAAAACCATGGGCTTAGGGTTTAGTGTACAGGGTACTTATCAGATTTTGGCTCATTTTTAAAAATGGCTGTAACTTTAAAAATTGATGTTGGAATCACCTCAAACTTTCTACACAGCATAAGGACGTCAATATGTGTTAGAAAATGTAATAAAAATTGGGGTTATTTTTGGGCCATTTTTCGGAAAAAACCATGGGCTTTATAATACAGGGTACTTTTCAGATTTTGGCCCATTTTTAAAATGGCCGTAACTTAATTGAAAAATTGAAGTCGGAATCAACTCAAACTTTCCACACAGCATAAGGACATCAATATGTATCAGAAAATGTAATAAAAATTGGGGGTAATTTTTGGGCCATTTTTTGGAAAAAAACATGGGCTATAGTACAGGGTACTTACCAGATTTTGGCCCATTTTTAAAAAATGGTCGTAACTTTAAAAATTGAAGTCGGAATCACCTCAAACTTTCTACACAGCATAAGGACATCAATATGTGTTAGAAAATGTAATAAAAATTGGGGGTGATTTCGGAGCCATTTTTTGGAAAGAATCATGGGCTATAGTACAGGGTACTTTTCAGATTTTGACCCATTTTTAAAATGGCCGTAATTTGAAAAAATGAAGTCGGAATTAACTCAAACTTTCTACACAGCATAAAAACATCAATATTTATTAGAAAATGCAATAAAAATTGGGAGTGATTTTTGGGCCATTTTTTGGAAAAACCATGGGTATTTTTCAGATTTTGTCCACACAACCATAATCAAACAAATTTTCTGGGGCAGCTATTTGTATGTTCTCTATAATTAATTATTAATGAATGCATTATTGCAACCCTTGCATTATATTAAACACTTGTTGTGTATCACTGTATCGTGTAATATAATTAATCGTTGCGCACTTCTTGTAAACTTTTTTAACTGCAAAATTAATAGTTAATTTTATAAAAAAAACATGCCACGTAATGTAAAATAACAATTAAAAATTAAAACTACTGTCAGAAAATGTATGTAAAAGGAATACACAATAGTATAAAATTCGCTTAAAAATTACAGTAAAAGATACAGTAAAAATAACTATTATTATTACTGTTTGTTAATTGAGAAGTTTCCATACATGCTGTTCATCTGAAGGTACATGTCAATCACATCATATATGGAAGTATACTGCTCCTGTAAACAGATAATATCATTAATACACTAGTACCCACTCATATATCTAGTATATACCAGTGTAGTCACAGCTCCTGGTTTACTCCTTCTCACAGCTTTAGTCACTTGAAACACATCCACTACACCTTCTGCCTTACACTGTTCTAGACCAATACTCACTGAACAATACACTCCTGAACGACTCACTGTATCACTACACACACACACAATAATCAATTACTCATCATTAGTCTATCAGTATAACTCTCTCTCTTACCTACAGTGTACCACTACTGGTCCTCCTCCAATCTTTTGTTGTCTGTGTATAACATCATCAATAACTTGTAGGACAGTACGTGGTTCCCTAACAACTCCATCTTGAGGCCAATCTGCCACTTGTAACTGCAATACGTTCCTGCTGATGGCTTCTTTGTCAGAGGACACTTTAAACATCCTTTCAGTGTAACCATTTGAATTAATTTCATTGGTAACTTCTAAACCATACTCATCATATTTCCTACCACTTAGCCAATATGGAAAGCAGCAATCCTTAAATATTTTATACATAAAAGTAATAGACATTTAATTTTGTTTCAATACCTCTTCTCCACAAAGCATGACAATAGCAGACACTTTATAGTCAAGTATCATTTTCCAAAAATCTCTAACAGTGTTCTCCATAGGACTCTGAGCTATAATGAATGCTCTCTTCTCACGGTAACCCTGTTATGATCATACAGTATTATGTGTGTTACTTATAATGTTACTAACATTAAGATATGATGCATTAATGTATCCAT